ACGCAGGCAAAGGCAGCCCGAGGCAGGGCGGGGCCCCTCCTGCCGGACGCCGCCAGCAGCGCGCCGCTCTGCGGCCTCGGGCTCCCGCTCCTGCGCGTTCGCTCTCGGCGGGGCCGCCCGCCGCCGCCCGTCGCCGCCGCCGCCGCCGCGGCCCGTCGTCGTCGTCGTCGTCGTCGTCGTCGTCCTCGTCGTCGTCGTCGTCGTCCTTGTCGTCGTCCTCGTCGTCGTTCTCGTCGTCGTCCTCGTAGTCGTCCTCGTCGTCGTCGTCGTCGTCGTCGTCGTCGTCGTCGTCGTCGTCGTCGTCGTCGTCGTCGTCGTCGTCCTCGTCGTCGTCGTCGTCGTCGTCGTCGCCGTCGTCGTCGTCGTCGTCGTCGTCGTCCTCGTCGTCGTCGTCGTGGATCAAGGAGGCAGGACGAGGAATCGAGGGCTCGAGGAAGTATCGAGGGTTCGGGGCTCGAGGAGGGAGGAGGGATCGAGAGGTCGAGAAGTCGAGAGATCGAGGAGGGATGCAAGGACGACGGCTCCTGGCCGCAGGGACCGCCGCCGCCAGCGGTCGCTGGCGTCGCTGGTGTTCGAAGCCTTTCGTATATTGAGCTTGGCATGCCCTCGGAGGTTCTGGGAGGTTTTCGAAGTCTCCTAAAAGTTCTCGGAGGTTGTCGTCATCGGCGTCAGCGTTTTCGTGATCGCGGCCATCGTCGATAGCCCTGAAGGGAGGCGGATGATTCGAAGGTCAAGGTTGCGTGTTCTGGAACCCTGTTGGGTCTCCTAAAGAGTCCTCGCCACCAAGCCTGCATCCGCCTCGAAATCATGGTCAGGACGCTCCCCAGACCGTCGTCGTCATCGACGTCGACGTGGGCGCCGCCGTCGTCGTCGCCGTCGTGGAGACTCCGCCCTGCCGATGGGTGGGGTCGACGATTTTCAGAAGCCTCCAAAGGTCTGTCATCCCCAATAACTCCCGAATGGATTCGTATATTTCTGAAAGGTTCCAACCAAGCTTCCGCTTTCGCATTGCGTTGCATCACTTTACATTGCGTTGCATTGTGTTGCACTGCTTTGCATTGCGTTGCATTGCTCTGAGTTGGTTTGCATTGCTTTGCCTTGCTTTGATTCAAACAGATTGCACCACATGGCTTGCATTGCACCACCTAGGTTGCAGCGCATTAATTGCAAAACCTCGGTTGCACCGCATAGATGGTAGAACGAATGCGTTGGGGCTCGCGCTGGCTATGATACGTATATATATATATATCTATATGCACGTATATGCTTATATTCCCCAAACTGTGATTGCACTTAGGAGGTATTGCTTCTTTGTCAAGAAACTTGGCCCATGCGTTAGTCCGGCGGTTATGTGGTCGCCGTCGCCGCCCCGTCGCCGCCTCGTCGCCACCCGTCTTCTGGGCCTGCCCGTCGGTCTGGCGGCTACGTGGTCGCAGTCGCCACCCCGTCGCTCTGGGCCTGCCAATCGGTCTGGCGGCTATGTGGCCGCCGTCCCGTCACCGCCTCGTCGCCGCCCGTCGCCTAGGCCTGCGGGCCGCTCTGGCCACCATGTAGCCGCCGTCGACACCTCGTCGCCGCCCGCCGCCTCGTCCACGCCCGCAACGCATTGCTACGCATTGCTACGCATTGCTACGCATTGCTACGCATTGCTGTGCATCGCCTGGCATTGCTTCGCATTGTTCTATATTGTTTTGTGATGCGTTGCGATACTTAGCAGTGCTTTGCGCCATTGCATCGCCTTGTGGCACGTAGAGTGATCAGCGCAGATTGCACCACATAGTTACACCACATCTATTGCACCACTTAGTTTACACCACCCAGATAACACCACATATATTCTTCTTCCTTGCAAGAAATTAGATTATATCCCCAACCCCAAGGGTTATCCGTCCTCCTTTTCGCATTGCAAGTTAGATATGATTATGACCCACCGTTCATCCTAAATATAAACGCATACCATCCCAGCGACGCCGGTATCGTGACCCCCAACCATCCCTTACAACAAATGCTATGCGCGCGGACTCGTTTATCAAAAACCAGCAGTTTTCAAAAATCCCTTGCAACAAACTTGGACGAAGAGCACACGCAGGAAACATCGCGCGCGCATGCCGAAATCCTGCAACAAAACCTCAGGTTCCGTAAGGATTTCAAAATCGAGCGTCCCTCAAAAAAGTGTGTATAAACAAACATGTGGTTTCGCAAAACGGATTTCCAAACAAAACTTGCGCGCGCGCCCTTGCGAATTCTTCAGACATGCAAATCGGCAGCTTAACATTTGTTTTTTATATATAAAAAAACTACCAAACGGGCTTCGTGCGCGCGCATGAAGAAATCGTTCGAACGCCCTTGCGCGCGTGCTGCCGCGAGAATCCTTTGCAAAGAACAGAACGAAGAGCGCGCGCGCGTTGTCGCGCGAGCATGCCGGAATCCGTCAAAAACCTTGTTTCGCAAGGATGTCAAAACCGAGTGCCCGAAACCACGTCTCGCGCTCTTGCGAATTCTTAAGAGAACTATGTTTCTCATACAAAAAACTTGTTTTATAAAAGAATGGAATTCTGCCAAACGAGACTCTCGCGCCGCATGTCGAAATCATTACATGGAGAACCCTCCCATCTCCTTCGCACCCCCGACGGTGATCCAAGTGGGTAGAAGTCTCCTAGATGGGGTCCGAGTAAATGGTATCGGAGGATTGCACTGGTTCGCCGATGTATCGCCGATGCAGTGGCGATGCATCGGCGGTGCATCAACGATGCACCGGCAATGTCGGCGATGCATCGGCGACGTCGACGTGAAGCAAAACGGGCTCCACCTCGAGCCGCATCGCCGATGTGTCGGCGATGCGGCGCGATCCTCCGACCCCATCTACAGTCGGACTTGATTGCGCAGGACACGCGAGAGGACACAAGACCCTCCCGAGGGCGTGGGGCTGTGGGAGGCATGGGCCGCGAGACATGGGACACATGGGCACCCTTGAGTCCGCAGGGTCGACCTACCACTCAGAGCCGCCTGCGCTCGGAGGCTATCTTTAAGTCGGGCGCGTCCCCCTCCAGGTGGACTTTGGACGACAAATTAATTCAAAAAATACACAAAAATACTCAAACATATTTAAAAGTTGTCAACACAATCGTCCCCATATTATTTTTCTACTATTTTTGAAGATTCCCCCTGTATCGGGGAGACGTAAGACTCGGGTACGGGGGACTCGGGTTGGCCCGACGGGGCCATCATAAAAATGACGAGGCCCCACCTGAAATTTGACGCGAGCTCCCGCTGCAGACATCCCACGAAAACTGGTCTGTCAAAATCCAGGACGCGCTCGTCCAAAAAACGTCGGCAAACCCGAGTTCCGGCTTACTCGGGTCTTGCGTTCCCCCGACTGTAGAGGTAGAGGCATGCAGGGGGGCATCTGGGAGGCATGGAGGGGGGCCTCTGGGAGGCATGGCGGGGGCCCCGCCCCGACGGGGGCAGCGCCCGGCTCGCTCGCGGCGGGCCCCCGGCTCCTGGGCTGCGCCCCCGAGCCGAGCCGGGCCTGCGGCGCCCCGCTGGGGGGCCTGGAGGCCCCGCCGGCGCCGGCGTCCTGCGGGGGCCGCGGGCGCGGAGGGGCACGGCGCGGAGGGACCCCACAGGCGGACCCTACTCCAGATTTCGTAATAAAGGGAGGGGGGTCTCATTTCAGGGGGGGGGTCTCTTCCAGGCTGTCTTGGAGGGCCTGGGGGGTCTGGGGACGATGTTTTGGAGGGTTCTCCCACGGGGGAGGTCTGAAATGGCTTGTCTTGGAGGGTCCAGACCCCCTCCCTTTTATTACGAAATCTGGAGTACCCCTACCCCCCACGATTTCTGAGGGGGAGGTTGGGGTGCACTTCGCTCGGGAGCTCCCGAGCGAAGTGACCCCCACCCCACCCCACCCCTCAGAAGTCGTGGGGGGTAGGGGTGGGGTTCGCGTGTGGCCCCCTAACAGCGCGGAGGGGCGAGGACCGAGGCGAAGGGCCCTGCAGGGACACACAGAGAAGTACACATGAATAGATTCCCCATGTATTCCCATACCTTATAGGTTTTGGCCTTCCCCCCACTTCCCATATTTTCCTATAGATTTCCCCCAGATTGGCACGAACGAAATGGGTACGGAAAGAATGGGTACGGTGCCCCACACGACTTCTGAGGGGGAGGTTGGGGTGCACTTCGCTCGGGAGCTCCCGAGCGAAGTGACCCCCCCCCCTCAGAAATCGTGGGGGGTAGGGGTGGGGTTCGCGTGGGGCCCCCTAAGAGCGCGGAGGGGCGAGGACCGAGGCGAAGGGGCCCTGGGACACACAGAGAAGTACACACGGATAAAGAAGGATTCCCCACATTCTCCCATACCTTCTGGGTTGTTGCCTTCCCCCCACTTCCCATATTTTCCTATATAGTTTCCCCAGACTGGCACGAACGAAATGGGTACGGAAAGAATGGGTACGGTGCACAACATCAGTTCTTGCTCCTTTTGGACAGGGCTCGCTAGTCCGCGCCGCCGCGGCTGTGCCCGTGTGAGACAGGAGGCCGCCTGCCCAACAGCGGCCGCTGTTGGTTTGGGACAGCATTTGCTGTTGGGCACTGTGCCCATGTTCTCCGTACCCATCTCGGGCGTCCGAAACTAAGGGGCCTGCCGCACTCGTGTGGTCCACGGCCGGGGTAGCAGGGCGGGTTGGCGGAGCGCAGGAGGGAGGTATGGGGGGAGGGAGGAAGGCTTCTGAGAAGGAGGCTTCTCAGAGGCGCCGGCCTTGCACCTACGGACAAGGCCCGCGCCTTCTAAGCAGAGCGCTCCCAAGAAGCCTTCCCCCTCCCCCAGAACCCCTCTCTCCTCGTGGCCGACACTTGCTGGTGTGATCCACAACCCAGATAGCAGGGCAGGAGGAGCTCTGCGAAGGACCTGCGGAGGGGCTCTGGAAGCTCGTGGAAGGAACTTCGAAACATCCTGGCGTCGCATGCCTTGGGAGGCAAGTATGAGAAACGCGGTTCTGGGACAAGCTGCCGGCTCCAGCAGGTCGCAACGACGCTTTTTTGTGTTCTGAAACCGGGGAAACCTCTGAGCCGACCCGTGCTGGTCAGCTTCTTCTGTAACAATCAGACTAGCTCTCTCAAGGAGCTATCCGGGAAAGAAGACCTGGCGACCTCACGTTAGGAAGCAGCTCCTGGGGGGTCTTCGCACGAATGGCCTAGGGCGACTGAATCCGATCAAGGGGCCGTCAAGCAAAATCAGGCCGGAATCGGCACAAGATCAATCCGGGATCAAACGGGATTGAAAGGGATCCAGCGGAATTGAACGTCTGGGCAGGGTTGGGCTGGTTTCTGCCCACGCATCGACAAGCGCCGACCGTGAAGTGAACCTCCCAGAAGTGGCATCCTGACTTATGCGCGGGCTTGCGCGGGCCGTCACCGCAGCACGCCGCCCAAGAGACGAGGGCGCCTACGCGCGACCTTACGCGGGCAGCTTGCGCGCGAATGTCCGCGCAGTCAGCCCTGCTTTTCTGCCCCGCTGACCTTGCGCTGCGATCGGGGACTCTTGGGTTGAGTCGGGCCTGTCCCCCTACAGGGGAATTTTCGACGAAACATAAAGAACACCCCAAACATAACCAAAACATTGTCCAAAAATAGTATGAGAACTGTTTTTCGTATATGTTTTAACCTTCTTGGGGTATGTTTGGCGTATTCTTTATGTTTCGTCGAAGATCCCCCTGTAGGGGGACGCGCCCGACATAACTCTTGCTCGGCGTGCCGCGACGGCGGCCCCGGCGGCACGCCGTGCCCTGCGGGCGGACAGCGCGTCGCTCCGCTCCGCGTGGCGAGAAGAGCGGGGAAAGGTTCGGAACGTCGATACTGAAGGGGCCCTGGGACACACAAAGGAATACACTATATTTCGTGTCCCATACGATACGTCGATACGTCGATACACAAAGGAAAGGTTCGGAACGTCGATACTGAAGGGGCCCTGGGCCCTGGGATACTGAAGGGGCACAGGAGTCCCCATATTTTCGTGTCTTTTCTGGGTTGCTGTCTTCCCCCCCACTTCCCATGTTTTCGCATAGCTTCCTGGGAATCGACGGTTCATTGTGTCTGTGTGTCTCTTCTCCTCCTGAGATGCCAGGAGACCGGGACGGGGCTGCCGTGTCGCGCCGAGGCGTGGTGGGCGAGAGCCGGCGGCACGACATGCTGAGCAGGCGCTCCTGACCGCATCTTGTGCGTGACACGGGCGTCCATCGCCGAGCATCCAGCGCACACGCGTCTTGCAGCACACCTTCACCCAAGACGTGTGGCCAGAGAGCGCCCGCCACGGAGCTTCTGGTTTCGAAGAGCTCCGGGCGTGCGCGTCGCGGGGCAAACGCACACGCAGTGTGATGACGAGGAGGCTCCCCCAAGATCAGAAGGCGACCGCCAGCCCAAACCACCTCGTGCCGTGACAGGATCCAGCGGCACGGTCCTTGACGACGTTCGAAACCCGAGGACCCTTGCCGAGCCCCAGGGCCGTCCTAAAGGCGCCTCAGGATGCAAAGCCGGCCCCCTGGAAGGGGTCTGGACTTCTGGGAGCAGCGGCGACGTGGGAGCAGCGGCGACGTGGGGGGGGGAAGAGACGAGGGGGGAGAGGATGGTCACCGGGAGCCTCTGGAGCTCTTCGGAGCCCCCCCTGCAAAGAACACCGGCGCGTCCGAAAGCCTCGCCCCTTGATCCTCGGCCCTCCTCCTGCGTTCGCGTCGGACGAAAGGGGGGGGATAGCAACACTGAAGGGGCCCAGGGACACACAAGTAAATACACCCAAATCCCAGGATTCCTAATATTTTCAAATATGTTCTAGGTTTTCGTCTTCCCCCCCTCTTCCCATATGTTCCGTATTTCCCTGGGAGTCGACGATCAATTGCGTCTGTGTGTTGTTTTTCCTCCTGAAAAACACGGGGGTTCGCGAGTCAGCCCACGCGGCTGGCTTCTCCCGGCGCCTCTGGACGCAAGAGGCGCCCAATAGGAGGGACGGCGCCTGGCGGCAGGGCCGGGCCCGGCTGCAAAGAACCAATTTGGTAGCCCTTCCTTTTCCCATCCGCCCACTTCGTCCGACCAGAAACTTCTCTCGGGGAGACGTAAGACTCGGGTACGGGGGACTCGGGTTGGCCCGACGGGGCCATCATAAAAATGACGAGGCCCAATCTGAAATTTGACGCGAGCTCCCGCTGCAGACATCCCACGAAAACTGGACCGTCAAAATCCAAGACGCGCTCGTCAAAACTCGGGTCTTGCGTTTCCCCGATTCTCGAGGAGGATCGATGATCCTCAGAACGTGAGTTCGCGCCAACGTGAGATTGGCCACCGAAGAAGCCCTTCAGTACGACGCAGGCGTTGTAATGAGGACCAACACGGGCTGCGTGGTATCGATCGGTGGAGCCGAGCGGGGAGAACACGTTTTGAGCCAACAGCTAGCACACGAACTGAAGATCATCGAGAGAGGGGAAGAGAGGAGAACCCGAGGAGAAAGACCGGCATGTCATCCCCCGAATCCGACAGCGCAAACACCGCTGCTACCGTGCCTCGCCCCATGTAACGAAGGCGCGCTGCTTACGCACCTCCGCATCCGCCCGGCTGCTGCTGTTGCACGGCACGCTCTCACCTCATCTCCCCTGCTCAGGGGGAACAAAATGGGGAGGACAGCAAAGGGTAGGCTAGAGAATCAGCTCACGTATAGCTGATTTCCCCGGCGCCTCCCGGCGCCAGGGGGGCGCCCATGCATCGAGGAATGGGCCCGGCGGCGGCGGCGAAATCAGCTGCATGCAGCAGATTTCGTAACCCCCCCTTTCCCTATCCCCCCCTTTGGTTTTTGGACGCCCGAAATGGGCACGGAAACAATGGGCACAATGCCTAACAGCAAATGCTGTCCCGAACAAACAGCGGCCGCTGTTGGGCAGGCGGCCTTCTGTCTCGAATGGACACAGGCCGCGGCGGCGTGGACAGCGAGCCCTGTTCAAAATGAACAGGAACCGCTGTTGGGCATGGTACCCATTCTTTCCGTACCCATGTCGGGCGTCCAGACCTTTCATTCGGCCCGACTCACCACGGCCACCTGGCCCTGCGGTGTGCGAATCGCCGCGCCGCCGCCTGCAGCTGGCCAGCTCCCAACCCAGGCCGCGCCGCGAGAGGCGCGAGCATCCTATCGCCACCCTGGCGGGCGGCCCAGCAGGCTGCCAGCACGCTTTTTGTTCGTGAGCGGCGAGGCTTACCAGCCTGGAACATATCCCTATCCATAAGCTGGGCATCGCCTCAACACCATGCCAATCTTAGGGGTTCCCTCAGTTTTTCAAGGCGAATCCCTGAGATTGTCATCGCCTCTTGGCGTGTCAATCTTGGGGATATGGATACGCTCGAGGCTGGTGAGAGGCGGCGGAACCCGCACCAGCGCAACAGCTAGGCAAGGGCACCAACCAGCGAATTGGCCGGCGGCGCGCCAGCGTTTGATGACCCCGCCGACGACACCGCCGCTGCCAAGCCAAAGTTCTCGCTTGCTTTGACAAGCGCGTCGAAGTTGCCGGTCGTACTCGAAGAGACTGCGGCTTATATCGAACATTCATCGTATCGTGCAGCTCGCCCAACAGCCCAACCAACGCAAAAAACGATTCTTCCAGCAGCGTTTCTTCGCGCGTATGACGCATTATCGTAAATCCGCCGATCCGGCGTGTGAGTTTCTGACAGCGTGGACTTGAGCTCGCTCAAGCTCCGCTCTGCAGGGGGGGGGGGGGGGGGCGCACGTTATTTCCGACGTCATCTCCGACGTTTTTCGGTACACGGGGATATTTCCGACGTCATTTCCGAGGTTCTTTGGTACCCGGGGACAGGGGGGTATAGAAGACTCCACTTCCGGAGCCCCCCCCGATCGGCGGCACTGGCTGGAGGCCGGCCAGCCCAAGATCGTCTCCATAGATTCCTCAAACATCTGACGTCGACGATGAGCAGCCGGTGGGCGGCGGCACGTGGCCGGACTCGTCCGCGGAGCCCACGGAGGCTGCGCGCCAGCCGTGCACGCGACAGGGGCCAGAAGCGCCGAACGCTGGGCCTCCTCCCCCTCCTCCTCCTCCTCCTCCTCCTCCTCCTCCTCCTCCTCCTCCTCCTCCTCCTCTCCTCCTCCTCCTCGCCTCCTCCTCCCCCCCCCTGGGGGTTCGACCTTCTAGGGCCTCGGCGCCGAACGCTCGGCACTCACCAGAGGATGTGTAGGGAACCCACAAGGGACGTACGCGCCCAACCATGTACATGAGCACGGCCCCTCGATCCGCGAGACCGTCTGCGTGATACGAGCCTTCGCGCACGGCGCACTCCCGAAACCAGCGTGGATCCATGTGCATGTGCGTCCTTATTTCGCCCCTGAATGTGTGCACGCAATTCGCGCCCGGGCTGGCCGTGTGACGGGCCCGACTCGGAGAAAACCCAAATTCCAAAAACGGTGGCGTCTCACTGTCGCTTCCACAGGCTGAGCCGCTCCCGTTCTGCGGCGCCCTCCGCCGGCCTTCCGCCGCAGGGCGGGGACGCGCCGAGGGAGAGGACTCTTCTGGAGCGCCCTGCGTGTACCCAGACGGCCGCTGTCTTGATGTGTTCAGCACGAGATCCCTGGGAGTCCTGACCCTCTCCCGAGGTCCAGCCTGCCGTCCTGGGCAGTGCCCCGACGGTCTCCGAGGCCCGTCGAGGAGGGCCCCCGGGAGGCCGAACGCAGCGAGCGGCGTCCGCCCTGATGCCCCAAGAGCGTTTCGCTAGAGGGTCGGATACTAGTGTCAAACACGACCCTGGCCATCGCTCGGACGTCCATTCCCTGTGTTTGTTTGGTTTCGTGCGTGTTTTTTTCGCCAAATGGTCAAGAATGCTCCTCGATGGTCCTCGCCGAAGGAAAAATGCACACGTCCGAGCGTTGCCAAGGACCACGGAAGACTCTCACAGGGTGGGCGGGTGGTCCGAGACACCACCCGCCCGAGATCGCCCTGCCCGGCAGCCGTTTCGCCTGAGACTTCTTACAGTGGATTCGGGAATCGTGCTCTCGCCTCGATGCCAGCTACCTGGTCCGAACTGGCCACGGCCCATTATAATTATCCCAGTACGACCCTACCTAGGAATTGGAGCCTCTAGGAAAGCAACATTAGTAGGAGCGGTAAACGCCGTCCTCCTCCTTTGCTATGCTATGCTATGCTCTGCTATGCTATGCTATGCTATGCTGCTTGGTCCGAACTGGCCACGATCCATTGACAAAAAGGTACTAAGGTCCACATCACCGCGCGCTCCCCAATAATCCCCAGGAATACCCAGGAATGCACGTCTTCACCAGCCGAAGGAATGCACGTTTTCACCAGCCGACTCCTACTCCTCGACCAGCCGCTTCACCTTTGCTGCTATCAGGGTGCCCTGCTGGGGTAATTATGTCAAGATGCTGAATGTCTTGGAACTCTAGCATCCCCGCAGGCCAGCTAGGTGGCGACATCCGAACCCTACCCCCACCATAACCATCGGCTCTGCCGAATCGATGCGAGGCGGGAACATGATGTTAGGATGTTGCCACGTGCTCCACGAAGCCCGAACCCGACCCCCGCCGCCCATCGAGTTGCCTGAATCGTGCATCGGCGAGGGTAGAGCTCGGACTTCGCCCCCGAAACCTCTGGCCTCCTGGCAGGCCTAAATAGACGAAGACACGAAGGCATAACAATAAACTTTCGACGCTCCGCGCGGATTTCTTGGATCCGCGCTGGGCACCCCCGGCGGCGCCTCCGGCGCCGCCCCTGAAGTTTGTGTGTATGGCGTTGCTTCTTCTTCGCCAGGGGCTCGGCAGCGGTGCGCACCCAGCGACGTGGCCGCGCGCAGATGAGGAGGAGGAGGAGGAGGAGGAGGAGGAGGAGGAGGAGGAGGAGGAGGAGGGGAGGAAGAGGAGGAGGAGGAGGAGGGGAGGAGGGGAGGAGGAGGAGGAGGAGGAGGAGGAGGAGGAGGAGGAGGAGGAGGACAAAGACGAGGACAATGACGAGGAGAAGGAGGAGGAGGAGCAGGAGGAGGACGAGGTCAATGACGAGGAGGAGGAGAGGACAAAGACGAGGACCATGACGAGGAGGAGGAGGAGGAGGAGGAGGAGAAGGAGGAGGGGGAGGGACCCCCGCGGCCTCGCGGCTGCCCGACTTCGCCGACAGGCTGGAGGACGGCCTCTCGGGCGCCGCGCGCGCGCTGGGGGGCCTCGGGCGTGCGCCCGCGCCGCCGCACTGCCCGGCGCTCCGACGGCGCATGGAGCACCGCCGGGGCTGCCGAGGGGACGAGGGGAGACTCCCCGACCTCCTACCCTCCTCCTCCTCCTCCTCTCTCCTCCTCCTCCTCATCCTCCTCCTCCTCCTCCTCCTCCTCATCTCCTCCTCCTCCTCCCCTCCTCCTCCTCCTCCTCCTCCTCCTCCTCCTCCTCCTCCCCTTGGCACCTTGACAAGGTGCCAAGGGGAAACCCTCCTCATGCCTCCCCGACCTCCATAACTTCTTCCTCCCCAGATCCGCTGTGGCCATGCACCTGCCTCCGACTGTGCATGGACCCGTGCTCGTTCCCCATCCCGACCGGTGGTGCATGCCCACAGGCCGATGGTGCACGGATCAACGCCTCGGAAGAGATTAGCGAACACTCATGCCGCAGTCATCTGTCCATGCCCCCCCCCAATGATCAATGCTGGCGGTGGGTTGAGCGAGCTGCACTTCGACCGCATGGCATCCCCGCGCGGGCCAACTTGAAGTTTGGGGGGAGCACATCCCAAAAATAGGTTCGAGCACCCAGGAAAGTATTGAAGCAGTGTCGAGCGAACATCGCCTCCCAGGCCCGACGCGTGAAGACTCTTCAATATGTGTACTGTCATGGCGCTCCAAAGTCTTTCCGGTGATCAGGGCTAAAGTAGGTTGGAACATCCTAACGCTGGGGTTGCCGAGAGGATGGGGGGGTTAGGAGTGGATGCTGATGTGGGCTACGGCTGGCTCAGCTCAGCTAGTGACCGGGTGGCAAATGCCCTGATTGGCTCGAAGGGGTTCGCTCTCTTGTTGCCAAAGGGATAGGGGGGATATAAGTGGATGCTAGTGCGGGCGATGGCTGGCTCAGCTCAGCGTGTGAACGGGTGGCGGGTGCCCTGAGTGGCCTGAAGGGGTTCGGCAGCTCTGCGGAGTGGGCGAGGCCCACTTCGCCCGTCCCTTCGCCCCCGTGAGCCGCTCAGGGCACGTGCAACCCACTTATAAGCGAGGCTAGGCAAGATGTAGCCCACCCTGGCATCCACTTCGAATCCCCCAGATCCTTTCAGCAACCCTCCTCCCCGACCTCCTACCTCCTCCTCCTCCTCCTACCTCCTCCTCCTCCTCCTCCTCCTCCTCCTCCTCCTCCTCCTCCTCCTCCTCCTCCTCCTCCTCCTCCTCCTCCTCCTCCTCCTCCTCCTCGGCACCCTGACAAGGTGCCAAGGGGAAACCCTCCTCATGCCTCCCCGACCTCCATGACTTCCAAGCACGACCTTTCCAGTCCAGGCGTTTCTCCTCGACTTCGGCCCCTGCGGCTCGCTGCTGGGCCCAGGGGCCATCCAAAAGTGGAACCCGGGGCGGGGAGCTATCCCCGGGGAAGGGGTCGGGACCTCTTGCGCGGGAACGGCGAGCGACCACAACCACATCGACGACACCCCCCTGGGGGATGTCTTTGCGCATGCCAAGATCTGTCGGAGCACCGAAACCAGCTTCGTACTGGTTGTGGTCGATGTGGCGTCCCAGGACGACCGAGTCAACCGCAACCGCAACCAAAGTGCTCATGTCGAGTCGAGGTCGGTGGGCTCGCCCCCGAGGAGCCCTTCCGAAGAATCCACTTAGTTGTGGCTGTGGCTCTCTGTTGTGCCCAGATCTTGGGCCGCGCACTGCACAAAAGCACATCGTCGAATGTCTGGGCTCGCCGCGGCCAGCGGCGACCGACGGCGGCGACCGACGGCGACGACCGACGGCAGCGGCGGCGACGACCGACGACGCTCGGAGGTCTCTGGAAGTCTCCGAAGGGTCCCCGGAGGCCTCGGCCACTGGATGCCTGACAATCTGACAACGAAAGGGGCCCAGGAATACACGAAAAATATAAGCACAACTTCCAGGATTCCCCATCCATATTCTCCATATTTCCTGGATGTGCGTCTTCCCCCCCACTTCCCATATTTTAGGTTATGTCTGTTCCCTGCTGAAACGAGGTTAAGCAGAAGCACCGAAATCCTTCACACGACCTGGACCCTCAGTCCTGGAACCTCGGCGACGGCGCCAGCGGCGCCGTCGACGGACCTTTCGAACCTTGAGATCCGACGCTGCGAAAAAGGGCAACATCGTGAAAACACGACCGGCCATCTTTTGGGTGACCCAAAAGGGGTCCAGCTGAAGGGGGGTGGTGCAATAGATTTAGGGCAATTGTATTGCCGACGTACTGCTCCGGAGAAGTGTATTGCATTGTATTGTAACTATAGGTGTATTGCACGCGAAAATCCAGCAATACATTTGCGCCCCGGAATGTATTCCACGCCCCAAATGTATTGCAACCCCACAAATCTATATTGCACCACCCCCTTGTCGCTGGTCCCCTTTTTGGGTCAACCCGAGATCTAGACCCGGTCTGTCTGCGGCACTCCTCGAGCCAGATCGATCAGGCGAGTGCCCCAGGGCCCGAGGGTGGCTGGGCGAAGCAACCCGGCGTGGAAGCATGAGAGGACCACGCGACGCCCGGACCTCTCCACAGACATCGGGCGCTTCGACGTGCCGCGAGGCATGGGCCTTCTGGGACCTTTCGGCTCCTTTCTCAAGGCTCGCTTTCCACCCCGAGCAGCTTAGCGAGGGCCCCGACGCCTGGAACTGGCTTTCACAGGCAGGTGCAGTCAGCATCGAACTGGGAAATATCGGATCCATTCAAAATGTGCGTCGGATCGGGGTGCATCGGCA